CACCATAAAATCTAACTTTCCAGCATTTTAATACGCCAGCCAACTGTCCTTCTAATGCTGTAACTCATCCCGCGAAAACCCTACGTGTTTGACACCGGAGTCGTCACCAACCCTTTGTCCCGACGATGCGGGGACTTCGCTTCACCCCGATCCTCACGAGTCTCGGCCTGCTTTCTTTCTTACCTCAGACACTTGTCCTTGCCGAAGGAGAAACCAAGATACACGAAGAGGGCCGCTGTGCGATCCGAGGACATTGCGGGAAAAAGTCGTTCTTCGGCGGAGAGCTGCCATGTCCAGATAACGGTCCTGCAAGGGATCCCGAGGTATCGGTGAGGAAGAAGCTGGTGGACTTGTGTGGTAGCAAATGGAACGAAGGGCCGGTTTGTTGTGAAGAAGAGCAGGTAAGAATTATTGTTCCAACAAAACCTCTTCGAGTGAGACGATTCTCATGTGTTCTAGATCGACGCACTCGCCAAGAACCTTAAGCTTGCGGAGGGCATTATTGCATCATGTCCTGCGTGCAAAGACAATTTCTTCAACATTTTTTGTACCTTTACCTGTTCTCCTGACCAGTCTCTCTTCATTAATGTCACACAAACCGAGAAGGCCAGCTCCGGAAAGTTATTAGTTACCGAACTCGACAATATCTGGTCCGAAGAATACCAGAGCGGCTTCTATGACAGTTGCAAGAACGTCAAGAATGGTGCTTCTGGTGGCAAAGCCATCGACTTCATCGGTGGTGGCGCGAAGAATTACACACAGTTCCTGAAGTTCCTGGGTGACAAGAAGCTTCTGGGAAGTCCGTTCCAGATCAACTACAAAACAGAGCCCTCGTCGCCCAATGATCAGGGCATGAGAGCTTTGCCTATCAAACCGAAGGCCTGCAATGACCCTGACGAAGCATTCCGTTGTTCCTGTGTTGATTGTCCAGAAGTCTGCCCGGAGCTACCAGAGGTGAAAACAGACAAATACTGCCACGTCGGCCTGTTGCCTTGTCTATCCTTCGCGGTCATTCTGATTTACTCCGTATTCTTACTAGCCGTCGTGGCCCTTTCTAGTTACTTCACGTACAGGGAACGACGTTATCGCAAGCCTGAGAGGGTTCGGCTATTGCAGGACCCATCTCCCGGTGACGATGAAGACGAGGGCGATATCGTTCATGCTGGTGGGTTGCTGGAGCAACCCTCTGGCGTTTACAAACTGAACTCCATGCTCGACTCAATGTTCAATAGTATTGGGGGCACTTGCGCTCGATTCCCAGCGATCACTATTGTGACTAGCATAGTGTTCGTTGGCCTTCTCAGTCTGGGTTGGCTCCGGTTCGCTGTCGAGACAGATCCTGTACGCCTCTGGGTGAGCCCTACATCAGCGGCAGCGCAAGAAAAGGAGTACTTCGATACCAATTTTGGGCCCTTTTACCGAGCTGAGCAGGCATTCGTTGTCAACGAACATGGACCGGTTCTGACATATGACACCCTCAGCTGGTGGTTTGATGTTGAATCTCAAATTCGTCGAATGATCTCTCCTGGCCGCAGGTTACTACTCGATGACGTCTGCTTTAAACCCACTGGTGAGGCGTGCGTGGTTCAGTCAATAACGGGCTATTTCGGTGGCTCGGGATGGAATCTCCACCCTGACACATGGGAAGAACGGGTTAGGCACTGTGCCGGTTCTCCTGGTGACCCGAGCTGTCTCCCTGACTTTCAGCAGCCTCTCAGACCTGAAATGATACTGGGTGGTTACGAAGAGTCCGGCAACGTCCTCGATGCTCAAGCGTTGATCACCACATGGGTTCTGAACAATCACGCACAAGGTACCGAGAGCGAGGCCGATGCCATTGACTGGGAGAAAAATTTCCAACAGTTGTTAAACAACGTTCAAGAAGAAGCCAAAGAACGCGGTCTTCGCGTGTCATTCAACACTGAAGTCAGCCTCGAGCAGGAACTCAACAAATCCAGCAACACCGATGCGAAGATTGTCGTTATCAGCTATATCATCATGTTTATTTATGCGTCCCTCGCTCTGGGCTCAGCCACGGTCACCTGGAAGTCTCTTTTGAACAACCCTGCCAATGTCTTTGTGCAGTCAAAATTCACGCTTGGAATCGTGGGAATCCTGATCGTCCTTATGTCCGTGTCTGCGTCGGTAGGACTATTTTCAGCAGTAGGAGTCAGGGTGACCTTGATCATCGCCGAGGTCATTCCCTTCCTTGTATTGGCGGTCGGTGTGGACAACATCTTCCTGATCGTTCATGAATTTGAGCGAATCAATGTCAGTCACCCTGATGAAGAGATCGATGAGCGGGTTGCTCGTGCTGTAGGGAGGATTGGTCCCAGCATTTTCCTCTCGGCCCTGACGGAGACGGTCGCCTTTGCGCTCGGTGTATTTGTGGGCATGCCTGCCGTCAAGAATTTTGCTATCTATGCAGCTGGCGCTGTCTTCATCAATGCCATTCTGCAAATGACGATGTTTGTTTCAGTACTTGCCCTAAATCAAAGGCGGGTAGAAAGTCTTCGTGCAGATTGCATTCCATGCATTACAGTGCGCAAGGCGACTTCATCCGGCATGTTCGAAGAACCCGCTTACAATGACCAGGAGGGCGAAAGTCTGTCGCAGCAATTTATTCGCAGAATATATGCGAACTATCTGCTTGACCGCAGGATCAAGGTTGCTGTTGTGATTGTCTTTCTCGGCATATTTACTGCTGGCTTGGCTCTGATCCCAGAAGTGTCTCTCGGATTGGATCAGCGTATCGCTCTTCCGAGTGATTCATACTTGGTCCAGTACTTTAATGACCTAGATGCTTACTTTGGCACCGGTCCTCCAGTATACTTTGTGACCCGGGACGTCAACGTGACCGAAAGAAACCACCAGCAGCAGCTCTGCGGGCGGTTTACGACCTGTGAAGAATTCTCCTTGTCATTTGTCTTGGAGCAGGAGTCTAAGCGACCGAATGTCTCCTATATCTCGGGGTCAGCTGCAAGTTGGATCGACGACTTTTTTTATTGGCTGAACCCCCAGCAAGAATGCTGCAAGGAAGATGGGAAGATCTGCTTTGAGGACCGGACTCCTGCATGGAATATTTCTCTCTACGGCATGCCCACAGGAAACGAATTTATCCACTATTTGGGGAAGTGGATTGAAGCACCCACGGATGCGTCGTGCCCTCTCGGCGGCAAAGCCCCATATAGTAATGCGCTTGTCATCGATTCAAAGCGCATCATAACCAATGCCAGCCATTTCAGAACTAGCCATACTCCTCTGAGGAGTCAGGATGACTTTATCAAGGCGTACATCTCAGCCCGTCGCATCGCGGATGGAATCTCCAAAGAACACGGCATAGATGTGTTCCCTTATTCCAAACCATATATCTTCTTCGACCAGTATGTCTCGATTGTGCAGCTCACAGGCACTTTGCTCGGCTGCGCTGTTGCTATCATCTTCGCTATCACGTCAATCATCCTAGGCTCTGTCGCCACTGGTGCGGTAGTAACTGCTACGGTCGTGATGATTGTTGTGGATATTATTGGCTCCATGGCCGTTGCTGGGGTCTCACTCAACGCCGTTTCCTTAGTCAATCTGGTTATTTGCGTCGGCATCGGTGTCGAGTTCTGCGCCCATATTGCTCGAGCGTTCATGTTCCCTTCGCGCGCAATAATGGAGAAGACGCCCACCAAGTTCCGGGGCAAAGATGCACGAGCCTGGACTGCCTTGGTCAACGTGGGAGGCAGTGTCTTCAGTGGCATCACTATCACCAAATTACTTGGGGTTTGTGTGCTGGCCTTTACACGCAGCAAGATCTTTGAAATCTACTATTTCCGTGTCTGGCTAGCACTGGTCATATTTGCCGCTACTCATGCACTCATCTTCCTGCCCGTGGTGCTCAGTTATTTTGGTGGAGAAGGTAAGTCTTATTCCCGTTGCGTCTTTTGAATCGTCCTTTCCAAATTCTTGATTGTCTAACTATATGTAGGTTATGCCGATCCAGGAACTGACGGTGGTTTGGAAGAAAACCTTGCATCCAGGGGTTACCGCGCCCTACTGGTTGACGAAGATTACGACTCTGAAGAATTCTAGCTATGCACTAACATGATGCCATGGCCTATCTTACGTTTGATTCCACACTATGGAGGATGTTGGCTTAAATATAAGTTTTGTACTATGCGCATTTTGCTCCTTGATTTGGAATCCATGCCATTTCTCTTGAGCAGTATTGATGAATCTTTCGGGCAAGGGATGGAGTATAGGATTATGCGGGGTTGGTTCACAATTCTTGATTTTTGCTATACAAATCTTCCTGATACCACTTGCTCTTTCCTCGTTTCTCGTACTTCAGCTTGGAAGGAATTCTAGGGATTCATGCAACCACATACAGGTAGCTGATAGACGATAGTTGGAGGAGTATGAACAGATGGTGTCAGGATAGTTATAACAGTCAATCACAACATTTACTGCCATCATTCTCTATACTATCTACCTTGTGGCAAACAGACAACGTAGAAACTTCCGTATCATGACCATCCTGGATAAGTGAACCCAATCCAGATTCTATTGGTCTTTGGTTGGGCAGCGACACTGTTACTCCAGCCATTTAGTACGCTACTCTGTACGATGTGGTGCACCCACTGTTTATGATCAACCAGAGCTGAATAGACCACGTGATAGCAAATGCCGCTAGCCTGAAGAAAGTAAAAGCGGAAGGACCAGAAGAAAAATTATCCAGACAGCCCACCCCTTAGTGAGAACTTTTTTTTTTTTTTCTCTTCTTTCCCTCCTGTGTGTCCCTCATCTCTCCTTTTCTTCCACTCCTCATTCCTTTTCTTGGTGTTTCTATCCTTTCTTTTGTTTCTGTGATACCCCTTTGAGCTGTTTGTCTCTGTGCAGGCAGCTCAATTAGTCCTACAAGAATCCCTTCTTCGTATTAAAGAACGGTTGGGACACCCCACATTTGAGAGGCGTACATATTTTTTTCCCAGAAACTTTTGTTCATATTTTCCATCATGGATCAGCAGAGATTCCTGCAGCAGCTTCAGATCGTTCTGAACCGTGAGTAGCACCAATGAACCCGTCGAGTGGCCATAGAAAGATAGGTGTGATGCTGACGAGAACACAATAGCTGCCCAGGGCAACGTTAAGGAAGCAACTGGTATCCTCCAGCGGGAATTCTACAACAAGCCTGAATCTCTCGTTCTCCTTATTCAGATCGCCACCGGTCATGAGGATCCCAACCTGAGGCAGCTGGCCGCCGTCGAGGCTCGCTCGTTGGTCAACAAGCACTGGGTTTCGGTCCAGGGTGCCCAGAAGCCTCAGATCCGTGAGCAGCTGCTGCGCTCCACGATGAGCGAGGGCTCCTCACTCGTCCGTCACTCCATTGCCCGGATTATCTCTGCTGTCGCTCGGGTCGACCTGAACGACGGCGAGTGGGCCGAGCTGCCCAATTTCCTGGTGCAGGCTGGCAACAGCGGCAACAAGGATGAGCGTGGCGTGGCTATCTACATTCTGTTTACCATTCTGGAGACTCTGGGTGAGAGCCTCGAGGAGAAGTTCTCGGATCTTTTTGCCCTGTTCAACAAGACCATCCGCGACCCTGAGAGCGAGGAAGTCCGCGTCAACACCCTTCTCGCCCTGAGCAAGCTTGCCATGCACCTTGACTCCGAGGAGGATGTTGCTCCCGTCAAGGCCTTCCAGGACATCGTTCCCTCCATGGTCGCTGTTCTGAAGGACTCGATCCACCAGAAGCAGGAGGACCGTGTTATGCAGGCCTTTGAGGTCTTCCAGACTCTCCTTGGCTGTGACCCCGCTCTCCTGACTGTCCACCTTAAGGACCTTGTTATCTTCATGAACGAGCTTGCTGCCAACACAGAGGTCGATGAGGATACTCGTACTCAGGCCATCAGCTTCCTTATGCAGTGCGTTCAGTACCGTAAGCTCAAGATCCAGGGCATGCGTATTGGCGAGCAGCTCACCCGCACCGCCCTCCACATCGTCACCGAGCTCGGTGACACTTCCTCAGACGATGACGATATCACTCCCGCCCGGTCCGCTCTCGGCTTGCTTGATATGCTCGCCCAGAGTCTACCTCCCAGCCAAGTTGTTGTGCCTCTTCTTCACGCCCTGGGCCAGTACTTCAACAACAGCAACCCTGACTACCGCCGGGCCGGTATCATGGCGCTTGGAATGTGTGTTGAGGGCGCTCCTGACTTCATCAGCACTCAGATGAAGGACATCTTCCCCATGGTTCTGCAGCTGCTCGCTGATCCCGAACCCAAGGTCCGCCAAGCCTCCTTGCACGCCGTGGCTCGTCTTGCCGATGACCTCGCTGAGGATCTGAGTGCTGAGCACGAAAAGCTCATGCCTCTGCTTTTTAAGAACTTGGCCAGTGCTATGCAGGAGTACAAGGGTGAGGAGGATGGCCCCACTATTGATATCATGAAGGCCGGTATCAGCGCCATTGATGCCGTTGTTGATGGCTTGGACGAGAAGGACGTCGCTCCTTACCAGGGCGAGCTCGTTCCCATCTTGCACAAGCTCTTCAAGCACCCCGACTTCAGAATCAAGGGCTTGACTGCCGGAGCTCTGGGTTCCCTTGCCTCCTCCGCCGGCGAGTCTTTCCTCCCCTACTTCGATGATTCCATGCACCTTCTGCAGGAGTTTGCCACCGTCAAGGACAGTGAGGAGGAATTGGACCTGCGCGCTAGTGTCACCGACGCGATGGGTGAAATGTCCGCTGCCGCCGGTGCCGAGCGTTACCAGCCCTACGTCGAGCCCCTCATGCGCGCCACCGAGGAGGCCCTCCACCTCGACCACTCCCGTCTCAAGGAGAGCACCTACATCTTCTGGGGTGCCATGTCCAAGGTTTATGGAGAGCACTTCGCTCCCTTCCTTGATGGTGTCGTCAAGGGCCTTTTCGCTTGCATTGAGCAAGACGAGACTGACCTGGACGTCTCCCTTGGTGAGGCCGCCAAGGACCTTGTTGGCCAGGAGGTGATCATCGCTGGCCGCAAGGTCAAGGTTGCCAGTGCCGACGATGACGACGAGCCCGTTGGAGAGGATGGCGGTATCGAGGACGTTGATATCGATGATGAGGATGCTTGGGACGACATCACCGCCACCACCCCCTTGTCCTTGGAGAAGGAAATCGCCGTTGAGGTCATTGGTGATCTCGTCACGCACACTAAGAGCGCCTACCTGCCTTACTTCGAGAAGACCATTGAGCAGGTCCTGCCTCTGGCTGAGCACCCGTACGAGGGTGTTCGCCGCAGCACCATCAGCACCCTACACCGCTCGTACGCGATGCTCTTCGCTATTGCCGAGGAGACTGGCCAAATGGCTAAGTGGAAGCCCGGTCTGCCTCTGCAGGTCGAGCCCGCCAAGGAGGTCAAGAAGTTTGGCGAAATTCTGATGACCGCTACCATTAAGATGTGGACTGAGGAAGATGATCGGTATGTATATCCTCTTTTCTTTTTCTGCACAGTACACGACGGCTGCTTTGCACAAGCATGCCGATTCCAATGATGAACACACTCGTTTACCCAGCTCACTCAGACGCGCAAAATGCGTGCGTGATGTGAAACACGATTCTTTCCAACGAAACTGAGGCCTTATCTCTCTGCTCTTACTGTTTCATGTCGATGTCTTGATCGGTATTGACCATTTGACACAGGGCTACTGTCGCTGATATCAACCGTAACATGGCTGAGAACTTGCGCTACTGCGGTCCTTCTCTGATTGCCAACGAGACCACTCTCCACAACGTCATCCAGATGGTCACCGACATCATCACGAAGAAGCACCCTTGCCAGCTTGAATTTGGCCCCGAAGAGGAGACTCTTGAGGCCGGTGAGGAGACTTCTGAGTTCGACTGGGTTGTTGTTGACACCGCCCTTGACGTCGTTTCCGGTCTCGCTGCCGCTCTGGGCGAGAGCTTCGCCGAACTCTGGAAGGTATTTGAGAAGACCATCCTGCGCTACGCCGGCAGCACTGAGGCCCTGGAGCGTGCCACCGCCGTTGGTGTCCTTGCCGAGTGCATCAACGGTATGGGGGCTGGTGTCACTCAATTCACTCGTCCTTTCCTGAAGCTCCTCATCCACCGCCTGGGCGATGAGGATCCTCAGACCAAGTCCAATGCTGCCTATGCTGTTGGCCGTCTTGTCGAGCACTCCACCGCAGACGCTGAGATCGTCAAGGAGTACCCTACCATCCTTTCCCGGCTGGAGTCGTGTCTGCAGATGAAGGTCTCTCGCCTTCAGGACAATGCTACTGGATGTCTCAGCCGTATGATCCTCAAACACCGTGAGGCCATCCCTCTCAAGGAGGTTCTCCCCGTTCTTGTCTCCATCCTCCCCCTGAAGAACGATTACGAGGAGAACGAGCCCCTGTTCCGCATGATCTGCCAGATGTGTATGTGATCCCGCCCTGTTCGAAACGAGCATGAATGTTTACTGACCGGCTTGTAGACAAGTGGGAAGATCCCACCATCCGGGAGCTCACCCCGCAGTTCCTGCCCATCTTTCAGTCTGTCCTTTGTGGCGATTCGGACCAGCTTGAGGATGAGCGCCGCGCCGAGCTCATCGAGCTTGTCAAGTGGCTGAATCAGATGCAGCCCGGCGCTGCCCCTTGGGTTGAGCAGCTGTAATCACCTTGCACGACCTCTGAATAATAACGGCTTGATGACTTCACAACCAAACATACCGAATACTTAATGAATAGAGCCTACGCCACAAAAGCAGGACATTATGGATGACTCTTTAGACGATACCCCGGAGCACATTGAGGGTTCGCGCCCTCATTGTCTGCGAATGATGAAACCCTGAGCGGGAAAGAAAATTAACTAGACACCATGGATTGGGTACGTGCGATGATTTATGAATTGAGAAGAAAGTTTGTCATAGTAAATATCGTTGGACTTGAAGATCTATCCAGGTTAGAGGACTACTTACCTCGCCGTGCTTATTCGTTATTCTTGATTTATTACTGTAGACCATCCGGTACAACCCTTGTCTGTGCCAATGACGTCTGTGGTGGGGCAGAATAAGGTAGCGATCTGCAAGATGAAGAGGGACCTCAAAAAAGTGACAACTGACAAGATGCGGAGGTACTTCGATGGTTCGACCTGGTTCTACGTATGGAGGACAATTATCTCAGCGATCGGTAAGGTAGAGACGAAATCGGTGGCTGGGCCTGTTGCTTAGGCATTATTGGGTTGATATGTAGAGTTAGTTAACTACTCCATACTTCTAGGAGTGTTGATCTGATTGAATGCTTCTTTATTTAGTACAAAACTTGGATGCCTGTCAAAAGTATTTATTCCTGACCTCAGCTCCCAGACCGACTCTTATTGTTTGGATTCTGATTCTCAACCTTTCTCCCTCATCAACCTACTGTCACAAGAACAACAGTAAGGGAACCTGAGTCCTATCTACATTATGAAACTTACTTCTGGGATCATCGAAAGCTGCGGTCGAAATATCTACTGACTTGACCGGCTACGTCACAGATACTCTACACCGTCCACTGTACAATGGCCGCCTCATCCTTCTCCTCGCCCATCAACTGGACTCTTCCGTCCTCTGCCTCCGGGTCATCCATCAAGAAACCCATCAAGACCGTCTCGAAACCGTGCTTTGGGTGTGACTGTGGGGATGAAGAGTGTGATTGCTGCATTTGCACGGTGATGTAAAGTACAGTATTCTCTGGATCAGTTGTTGACGATGGATGTTTGCTGATTGCAGACAGGAATTTGACCTGGTGGTCATCACGACAGCTTGAGCGGAGAAGCGAGATCATCGAGTGGCATTATGATTTTCTATGATATCCTGGTTTGAGACTTTCATTCGGTGGTACCTGTTGAGTTCTCTGGTTCGATGTCGGGACTATGGTTGTAATCAGAGAAGTATATGGGTTCTCATACCACCTTTTTATCATCCCTATATACCTTATTTTTGCTTTATTTATACAAATTTTTTTTTTTTTTTTTTTTTTTTTTTTTTTTTTTTTTTTTTTTTTTTTTTTTAATTTTTTTTTTTTTTTTTTTTTTTTTTTTTTTAAAAAAAAAAAAATTTTTTTATATACATCCCCCACACCACAAAAAAAAAAGGAATATGTTTTTATCTCTTTTTTTTTAAAAAAAAAAAAAAATTTATAATACAAAATATTTTTTAAATAGAACATTTTTAAAAAATCACTACTAACACACACATTATTCTCACTATATTACTCACACTA